GGCCGGGTGGGAACATGGGCGACAAAAGGAGTCCAGCTCACGAGTCAATTCCTGGCCGTCACATCGTCCTCTCCAATATACATATATATATATATATATGTAAAAACTCCAAAACGTCAAACAACATATCTAATCACCGTTCAATCCTCTGTTCAACGTTGACCCTCAAACAGTTACTAAGCCATCAGATCATCTCTTTCTCTTTGGGAATACCATCATACTGCACTCCCAGTGAAAGGGCTTTGCTATTGCCCCCCACCCCCTTCTCTAACACACACTTGTTAGGGATATTAATTTTTAGTTTTTTTTAAAAAAATTTATAAATTGTGTTTTTTAAAATATTATTTTATGAATTAATTTTAATTATTTACATCAATAAAATAAAATAAATATTTTTAAGTTTTTTTTTTAATATATTTATTAGGGTTCTTAACATTTTGTTTGATGGCTATATATATATATATATACTTAGTGCCTCCAGTTAGTGATGTTGTTTCTCCGGCCAACACTCCCAGGTCCCGGCCCGGCCGCACATCATAATATCCCTGAATCCACTTTCTCTTTTTTTGCACGTCATTTTCCTTCCCCCCCACACACTCCTTTTTTCTACTTGGGTCGTTTTTCTTAATTAATTTTCCACCACCACCATTGCTGCTTAAGCAATTAACTAACTACCAACCAACCAACCATCATTGCGGCCTAATGGCCACAATTTCTTTGAGAAATATAAAAGCATTTAGAAATTTAAGAGTAAAGTTTTGACAATTTTATTTTTTAATTTTTAATTGTGTCAGCTCAAAAAAAAAAAAGCAATTAATTTAAGAGTAAAGAATTAATGTATGGTTTTTTTAATATATGCTTTTAAGGCATATATTAAAGATATAATTAATAGATTTTTTACAATTAATTTAAATAAATAGTGTAAATATTAATTTTAATTTAATTAATTAACAAATTAAAATCATTTATGTATTAATAATGTTAAAATAAATGTCAATTTTTATGTAAATTTTTTATATAAATTAATTTAAAAATATATTTATTATATTTTTAATATATATTTTTAGAGTACATATTAAACATACACATTAATATAATTAATAAAGCTTGAGTTTTTTACTACACAATCAGTAATCTTAAATGCAAATCTTAGAGAATTTAATAAAAATATCATTCTCTAATATCTAGTACTACTAGTATAATTTAAGTAATTTCTTTTTGGTGATGAGATTAACTAATGCTTCTTCTAATGATTTTATTCAGGCCAGTACTGGGCTGCAATTTTTTTGTTTTTTTTTTTGGCAGTTTTGTGCCTGTCGACACTGAAATGAGTAGAAATGTAGAATTCCTTCCCCTTTAATCTTTTGGATTTTACGAGACACCCATCATTGATGGAAGTGATTGGGAAGCACTAAGCAGCCAGCAGGTATTCCTAGAATTTTTCTTGTTTCTTGAGCAAAAATTTATTGTTATATATATGGACTAGCTAGCTCCCTCCACTTCCTCTATCCATTTTGGTTTTCAACGTGACCCAAGGCCAGACGTCACGAAAAAAGAAAAAGTAACAAAAGGATATATATATATATATATATTTGAATTTCTGAAATTTTGAGAAGA